TCTCCTGGGAGAGCAGAGAGCCACCGCAGTTTCACATCGCAAGCCTCCCAGAGAGAAAGAGAATTCTTCATATTCACCGACTGTCACAAAACTTCCGCTTTGTATTCTGATGGTCAACTGAGGGTCTGTGCCCACCCAGTGCCATGCATGGGGTGGCACAGGGAATAGAGTTATAATGAAGGCATTCTCAATGAGAGTGATACGGGCCCCCAAAAGGCAAAGTATAATAGTTTGTTGAGACTAGGAGGGAGCAAAAACAGTACTCTTTTTATACAGCAGCACAGCTATACATAAACAGATGCCCAGTATATCGGAGGCGTTAGACTATGCGGTGAGGGGACTAGCTAACAAAAAAATTAAACAGGCTTCTTAAGAGGGTGATAATGAATAGGAATGTTGAGAAACACTGACTTATGTTGATTGGTTTAGGCCCAGGGAGGAGCAGACCCATGTTTGAAGCTGGGAGTGAGGTTGGCCCCCAGAGCATGGAGTTGCCAAAGGAGGGAGGGTCAGTGCTTGGCTGAGATGCAGTCGGCAATGTCGGCTGCGCCTGCGGTATTCGCCTCTGAAATCCAGAGCTCTTTGAGTGAAATAACTAGTTACTTTTCAAGAAAGCACAAAGTCATTGAGTTAAGGGGGCAGGAACCTCTCCTTAGGAGATCCCTATTGCCGTCATCGTTATGAATCCTAAGCGCTAGCGGGGAGTCACTGAACCGCCCGTGTTCTGGCATGGGAACTGGAAACACACACCAGAATGGGAAGCACCGAGCTACATATTTTACTAAACCAAATTTTTTATCATCTTGATAATAAAAAAAAGTGTCATTTTTCTTGCTTCTTGTCTGAATCGTTTTGTTTGTAAGAAAATCCAGACCTCAGTGACTCTAGAGAGAAACGGGGTGGGGTGGGCGATGGCCGTTCCATGGAATACGTGCCGTCAGGTCCTGTGTATTCACATACTATAAGTGAAATCAGATCCCTCCCTATTCATAAGGGTTTGGCAGCCACATCCCTGCCTGGCGGGCTGCCTCAGGAAGGCATGATTTCTTTGGAATTGAACACTTCCTCCTCTTCTGGATATTAGAGAGGCAAGTGCCTTAATTTGCCAATAACCATGAATAATAGAGTATCAGCTACAAGGTGTTCCTGTAGTAATTCGACTGAGTGGAGAGCAGGCTGAAGCGGCACTGAGCTCCCTTGTGCTGGGGAGCTGCCGGCCGTCGGGGAGACTCTGGCCTTGAACCTGGACCCGCAGGTGTTCCTCCCTCTATGCTTCAGGAGCAGCGCTTTGCGCTTGTGTCGCCGGCGTCTGTGGGCTTGCCTCCTTCCCTCCGGAAGCTTTGTGAGTGAAGCTTTGAATTAGGTTGAAGTTGCAGAAATGGGATAGTCACCTTCAGTTTCGGGCTAAGTTTGAAAAGCTGGCGTGTCCACCATACATCTATCCTGGTATATCTTGCCTGGGTGGGTTGCATTATAGCTGTTATAACAGTTAGGGTTAACCAGCAATGAAGGTGGAAAACGATGGGAGAAGTTTGTTTAAAAACATCCATGCTCTGCTCTGTGTAAGGGCAGCGTGCTCTAACAAAGGTTTGTGACTTGGGATTCAGTTTTCTTTTCCTCCCCAAGGTCTCAGGGGTAGCATTTCCTACAAACCCGGGATGGAGTCATCGCCTCCAGCAGGAGGCGACCTGGACAGAATCCGGGATATCCAAGTGACAGCAGGAGGCTGGGTCAGCTCCCCTGAGGAGGCAGCTGACAGAGGGTGGAGCAGATGTGGCAGAGGCTGTGGACTGAGCCTTGAGCAACATTGACCGGGAGCAGATTGCTCTCCCTTCCTGCACCCACTTCTTCCCGGGTGAGAGGGGGGGAGAGTGTACCTGCGCTGTGGGTAGCGGGGAATCTATGAGATAACACATAACACCGAGCGTGTGCCTGGTACAAGCAAATGCTCAATAAATGTTAGGCTTTGGTTATATAAATGACCTAACAGCAGACCCATGGAAGGTACTTGACAAAGGGCAGCTATGGGTGTTATCACAGTTTCCATAAGTGAGAGTAGTTCTCTGGACACTGAATTCCCATCTTTGCATGTGATGGTGTTTAGTAAGAGATTGGAGTTTCCACAGCAGTGTACATAGTTCTAACCTTGGGCATTTGGACTTGTGTTCTGCATAGTAGGCCCACATTTTCTTTTTTTAATCATTATTGTTGAAATTATTACAGATGCCCTCCTTTTTCCTCCATTGATCTGCTCTTACCCTCTTCCTTTCTGCCCCCCCCCCATCCCATAAGGTCTTCACCACCCTATTGTCTATGCCCATGGGTTACACATATCTACACTAATAAAAGAATAAGATGCAAATTGACCATACCTTTGTGATGCCCACCAGCCAATCAGGAGTAAGTATGCAAATTAACCCAACAAAGGTGGTAGGTTTAATTTGCATATGTGAGTGGCCAAGGGTGGGGTGGGACGAGTTAGGCATTCTGCACTGCCCCAGCTACTCCAGCCTCTGGGCAGTGTGGGAAGGCAGAAAGGTGGCTCTGGCCAGAGTGAAGGCCGGGCTGGCAGCCAGGGGAAGGAAGGCTCATTTTTGCATGAATCTTCGTACAACTGGCCTCTAGTAAGCATACAAGATCTTTGGTGAATCTCTTCTATTCCCCTCCCCTCTGAGATTTGTCAGTCTATTCCATGCTTCCATGTCTCTGGATCTATTTTGTTCATCAGTTTTCTTT